TTCATCCGTCCGAGTGACGCATTTTAAAAAGAGATTAAAAAAGGGATGAAAAACTCATGGCTGGCAGGACCTAAAACCTATCGGATACAAAGCCACTCCGTGTGATCTGGACACAGAGGACAGCTACCTGATGTTTCAAATTCATTCCACCATTTCCTGCAAACAAAGGCTTACAGTCCACAAGAATATTTTGATTTCTTCTGTCATGGCAACTCATCAGTTGTGTCTGTTCTTTTGTTGTTGTTTATTGTCAATCAAATTATTCCAGCAATTCTGTGTGCCACAAAAGGCAAAGGGACAGATATACAGAGAGGGCCAGAAAAGACCCCAACCTCTTTTAGACCCTGATCTGGCATCATGGGTAAGACAGGTGTGGCATGCAAATGAGGCGCACGTTTGAATATGCCAGAGCTATAAAAATAATTGCTGAATAATTACAACAAGATGTTGTTACTGGGGTATTTTCTTAAGATTAAAGGATGGATAAAATTCAGAAGGTCAAAATAATGAGGTGTCTCTTACTTTAGCCTGCATACTGCAGAAAAACAACTGTTCTACATGATTTCACACACTTCAGGACCAAAATATGGTTTATTAAAGGGTAATTAACGTATAAAGACTTCCAGAAGAGAGGACAGCCAGCACAGGCATTGCAGTTACTGTAATCATAGCTGAATCCTCATACACTAAATGTACTGTGGATATTACTCAGGGGATGAGTCGCTTTCTGTGACCTCCTGATCAAAAAATAATTCAAAATCCAAGTGGCCAGTGCAAAGCTGGAAGTGCTTATTAAAAAAAACGTCCACCACCAATGTGACGTGATCGCAGAGAAGGCTTTCAGAAACCGCATTTGCGTTGCTCCTGGCCCAGAGTTAATTTAGTAGAAAATTAGATATAAAAAGTCCAGCACTTACAGGAATAGTATGCTAAATAGCTTATAATTATTTGCCCATATCTTGCTGCTAGAACTACAAACACAGATTGCTGAACTTATAAACGGATCCATTTTCATCTGACACATGGCATATTTTCACAATCAGTGTCATTTCTGGTGTAATTTATGATGGCGTATAATTGAGTGGAGGAATGAAGAACATAACCACAAGTCTGTATATCAGAGGATTAAAAAATAAACAACTTCAAATGCAAAAAATGAATTCCATTTGCATATGAAAAGAAGGCCTACATCGGATCCGACGTTCATGTGGGTGTAGATAGTTATCCATATTTCACTAAGGATTGACGCTGAAATTCAGGGGCAACCAGGGTCGTCACAGTAAAATACCTTCTTTTATGTTTGTGGTGCTAAGATGATTTATACACGATCCCCTCACAGACCTGAGAGCCACGGGCACAGAGGACACCAACACGACCCGGACTCAGACCTTTCCAATATGCAGTATAATGAAGACCAGCCTCCAGATCCTATACACAAGGCAGGACACGGGCAGCTCCACCATAAAGTAATAGTTTATGGCTTCTGACTCAAAGCTTTTTAATACTGCACAGTGACCGGACTATAAAATGGACTATGAGGGGAGGGAGGATGTGAAATTCGACCAATAACGCGCAAATCAGTAATCGCTGCCGGAACTACGAAGATCCAGTCCAGCAAAATACCAGTAAAACAGGCATACTGGATTTAAACATAATGCCAAAAGTCTAATGTTCCCAAAATGCCAAAAGAGCCAACTTTCCCAAAATATTAAAAGAAAATATTAATAAAATCAGTTTACACAAACTGATGAATCCTCAAACAGAACATTACTAAGAAACTCACTTTGGTCAAATTCCAAAACATAAAATGCGAATTATGCTGAACAGCTACCAGATTATCTAGTTTATTGGCAGGAAATGTAACATAACTGTACCAAAAGTTAAGGGAGTTCAATAAGGTATGGTGGGAATGTTACAGAGGAACTTAACAGAAGGTTTATATTTCACATGGGTGGCTCGCACCCTGCAGGTTTACAGGCTCGTTCCCAGCCAGCCGGTGGCCCTACACTAACGCCAAGGTGGTAATCTGTTTTGTCATTCTGCTGACTTTCCTCAGCCAAAACTTAAATCAAGTCTCCCTTTTCCCCAAAAAATCATACCTCTCCGCTATAATGGGGGAAGGAAAGAAAGAAAGAAAAAAAAAAGAAAAAAATCGCCAAACGTTCAGAATACAAAAAGCCGGTGATTCCTGGTTTCCGACCCCAAATGCAGTAGAGGTAAGGATAATCAATCCCGTAGTTTCGTGCTCAGGAGCGAGTTAACAGACCCACAGGCGCCTCAGCTATAAACGCCTCATATCATTTCCTTATTCTCACGATAACAGAAAAACAAAACGGTTTTAGCTAATCTGTAGAACACCTGCCGGATGGATATTATAAATGGGACAAAGAGAAACTGCGCCAGGTCCTATCAGGGTAACACTTCTATGGAAAAATGTATTACAGACACATTTACCATGATTTCTTGAGGAGTACTTTTTAAACCTATAGCAATTTAAAAAAAAAGAGATTACTTGAGCAAAATGTTGAATCCCAGTATAAAGTACTGATTACCATTTACTACTTAATAATAAGGCCAATGACGATTAGCGTGCCCTACATTCAGTTCACTCTGGAGTTAAGAAAGCCAGCAAATTTCCTTACAGCCGCGTCAGGCGAAGACATTCCGACTAACCCAGACATCTTCTGTGTCCTGAAACGCACCATTAAAGTAACCCGACGTGGCAGGTAAGATCATGGGTGGGGGGGCTTTGCTCCGGGATTTTTCAGTATTTGCAGTCTGAGTGGGGGGTCAACTTCTCGTCTGAAGGCTCTTTCCCCAGCTGTCATCGGCATTATTTTAACAGCATTTTCACATTGACTCTTCACGGGTGGTGGTGGAGGGACAACAGACTCAGACACAAAAACAAGCGTTAAGGAGGAAATGCTTGTCATGACAGTGGCGGGTGGGAGTCGCTATACTGACAGCCATCAGTCACAGCCACACCGAGGCGGCACACAACAAAGTGCCCTAAATCTAACCTCGGAATGACGTTTTCACAGCCCTCCCATCGCACCGGCGTCCTCGTCGTTGAGGGCACAGCACAGCTAGGGGCACGTAGCCGGGGCGGGCGGCCAAAGCCAGCTGGCTGTTGTGACAGCCGCATCCTCAGCACGCCTGCGAGACCGCAGCCGTCCCACAGTCAGGCACCATTAGCGGCCTCTGTGTCTCAGCTGGCCTCCAAACGGAACAGAGCTCTGCTGCTTTTCTACACAAGGAATGACAACAATCACCCCCCCCACACACACACATCAAACCCAACCTCGCTGTGGAGTGTTTGTCATACCTCCTCTGTCCATCCCATAATATTCCTCAAAGTGTCCTCGAGTGAAAACTTCTCAAGGTCAGGCACCACCTCACAGTCGTCTTCCAAACTTTTCCACAGCGAAAGGTTCCGCCAACTGCTCAGAGTCTGACGGCTGTTTAGAAAGCACGGCCCACAGGACAGAAGTGTCCCCAGACTGCCTTTAATTCTCTGCCTGTAATGTACAAAAGGTCCTCGGGGTTCGTGTGCTTTACCCATCGTACTGAATGTTCACCCAACGCTGTATTTTTTCACGCAGAGCTTGGCAGCAGGAATAGGTGTGTTACATAATCCTCCAAGAAAAAACCCCTGACTACCTCACGATGCCTGGGGACAGAGCATCCATTTTTAAGGCGTCCTTAGTA